GCCTGGTTCCTTCCTGGCCAAACCCTGGCTACTTAAAACGGCCCACTGCCTTCTCTGCCCCCGCCAAGGCCTTCCCTTACTCGGGGCCGGCCTGCTCTCGTGGGCAGCGTGTGCGCGTCCCGCGGCGAGTCCTGGAACCCGGGCCACGCTCCCTTCCTCCTCCTAACTGCGGGGCTGATCCTACCCTTCACGCAGCCCTCGAGTTTTTCCACTCTCACGCCTTTGCTGCAAGCGCTCCTCTCACCGGGAAAGGCTTCCTGCCCTCTCTCTGCTTCGCAGAATCCCATCGCCTTTAAGGGCTCCGCTTGCACCGCCTCCTCCAGGGAGCCTTCCTGGGAGTCTGACCCTCCCCCTCCCAGCCCTCCGCCTGCTGCATTCTGGGTTCTTCCCGAACCATCCTAGGTGAATCCTGGCGGTGACTAGCCCAGACCTCAGGGTTCCATTCTGCTCTCCTCCGGGTGGGGGTGGGGGTGGGGGTTATCTCCTCCCTCGCCTGGACGGGATCTGGGATGGAGAGGACGGTGAGGGCCGTCTTCAGCCACAGGTGTGTGTGTGAGGGGAAAGGCAGAGGTCGGCCCACCCTTCATCTTTCCAATAGGAAGAACAATAGGAAAGCGGATTGGGGGAAGATGCAGCCTTCCTGTCCTTCCTGGACGCGGTGTCTGTGTACCTAGGGGTCTGCCGAGGGAGGTGTCCGGTTCGCCGCAGCCGAGCTTCAAGCAGCTTCCTGGTGCCTTGGGGAGGAAGCCTCAGCTCCGTGGGGCCTGCAAGTCCGCTGCCCACCTTTGCAACCTCACCTCTCTCTTCTCATCGCCCCACCCCGCTCCTTTCCTGCCCCTCCATTTTAATGTCTGTACTACGCGCCTTTTTATGTGTGCACGGGGTCCTGGTGGCAAAGTGGTTAAGCGTTTGGCTGCTAAGCAAAAGGTCGGCAGTTCCAATCCCCCAGCCACTCCTTGGAAACCCTATGGGGCAGTTCTACTCTGTCTTATAGGGTCGCTATGAGTCCGAATCGACTCGATGGTAACGGGTTTGGTTTTGATTCTTTTATCTGTGCCTGTGCTTGTAACGTTGGTAATACTGCACACAGTTTTGATTCACACACGAGGTATTCTGTTCTGCATCTCATTGTGCTTCTTCCAGCCTCACCTCTGCATTCGGATTCCCCTTAGGTGGCTGCACTCCAGCCTGTTTGCTGGGGGACAGTTCTTGGGGTGTGTCCTGCCCCTCCTGGTTCCAACTTCCAAGGGTGCTGATCCCCAGCCTGCGCCTGCCTGGCACCAATTTAGCTGTGTGCTTTACCTGTGAGTTTCCTTTTGTGTTGTCTGCCTCCCCCATCGGACTGGGAGCAGTGGGAAGGCAAGGGCTGTGTCTGACTGGATGGCTGCTCTGTCTCCAGTGCTGGGTGAGAACTTTTGGAACAAACGAGCTGTACTTAGGAAGTGCTTATAAGGAGCTCGGGCTCAAGGAGAAGGCAGGGCTGGAGGTGGAGATGGGACCTGCTGGGGGCGGCCAGAGGTGGAGGCATCAGCACACAACTGGTGTGGAAGCCGTGGGAGTGGCTGACACGGCTCAGGGGGCAGTCTGAAGGCTACATACAGAGCTGGGTGTCTGAGTTGTCAGAGGTGACTCAGGCCTCGGCAGCCCCCCAGGACACCCATCCACTGCCACCTGAGTCAGACACTCCACCATGCTGCCGGCTGCAGACCTTGCCAGCCGCAAGGAGTCCTCCCTTCCATTGCCTTCCCGTCTGCAACCCGCAGGCCCTATTACCAATTGCCGTCCAGTCAATTCCGACTCACGGTGACCCTATAGGACAGAGTAGAATTGCCCCATAGCATTTCCAGGGTGCGCCTGGTGGATTCAAACTGCCGACCTTTTTGGTTAGCAGCTGAGCTCTCAACCACTGCGCCACTGGGGCTCCTAATTCCCAGGCCAGGTGGTGCAAATGGTTAACATGCTAGCTGCTGCCGTAAAGGTTGGTGGTTCAAATCCACCTGGAGGCGCAAGTCCTAGGGATCTATTTCTGAAAAATCAGCCCTTGAAAACCCTGTGGAGCACAGTTCTGACACACGTGGGGTCGTCATGAGACAGAATCCACTCGACAGCAGTTGGTTTTATGACATCTAACGGGGAGTTCAAATGTTCTAGGTTTTGTCCCCCTGCTCCCCAGGCTTCAGTTTCTCAATCTGTAAAATGGGGGTGTTTGACCAGAGAACCCCACCAACTTCAACATTCCTTGACTCTGTTTCTAGAAGTTGCTGCCTGCTGATCAGGAAACTGGGCAGGGTTTGGTGCTAGAGTTGGGGTCTCTCAGGCTGCCTGTGTGTATACCCTACTGGGCTGTGTATGGGGGAAACCACACAGGACAGAGACCAGGGCCAGCGAGTTGGCAAGGGCTGGGGGTGGAGGGGGACTCAGAGCAGAGAGTCAACAGGTGGGCGGCTTGGGGGGCAGAAGACAAGGAGAGAATAAGGGAAAGATGGGAGAATTGAAAGGATTGATTAAATGATGTGTTTTCTCCAGGAAAGCATCTCCCTGGGCTGGGGTGGGCTCACCAGATGTTCCCCAGATGTTGCTGGTGATGAGAAACATCTCCCTCTGGGATCCCAACTAAGTTCTTCCTGTTCGTGGGGAAATGAATGGTCTGTTCCAAGGCAAGGAGGGTGGGGTCTGGAGCCACATCCATCTGTGACCATGGCACATACGTAGGCAGGATCACACCCACACGCCCTCCGGGAATTTCTGAGTATTTGGAAGAATCCTTCGAGTTTCTCAAACATTCAGCATCTGTGGACCACCCATTTTAGGTAAATAAAAAATTATCACAGTTTTAAATAAAAAAATTTAAAAATTAAAATAAATTATGCATTTCTGTTGGAAAGGCTAAAATTAAAAGGGTTGACAATTCCAAGTGTGGCAAGATTGAGACTTGTCAGATTTGTGAAACATTGTTGGTAGGAATGTAAATTGGTGTGATCAGTTTGGAAGACGATTCGGTAGTACTGACTGAGGCCAAACAGGCATACTCTACGATCCTGTAAATTCTACTCCTCAGCATGTACCCAAGAGAAACAAAGTGCTTGCATCCACTTAATGACATTTACGAGAATGTGTATAGCAGCCTTATTCATAATAGCCCCAAACTGGAAACAACCCAAATGTCCGTCAACAGGTGAGTGAAAACAAACTGATTTATTATACAATGGCATATTACATGGCCGTGAGAAAGAGCAAACTATTATCTCACACAACAATTTGGATGAATCAACAAAAACATTATGCTGAATAAACAAGCCAGACACAAAAGAGGAGTAACTATGCCTCCGTTTCTGCGAGGTTTAAAACCAGACAGAACTAGAGCGCAGAGGTGAGTGTCGACTGCGAAGGGGCCAGGAGGGCCTTCTGGCTGCTGGAATGTAAACCATCTTGATTGGGCAATGGTTGCACAGGTGTATACATATGTCAAAATGCAAGTTCTATGGCTAAGATTTGTTCACTTTACTGGAAGTTTCACCTTGATAAAAAAAAAAAGGGGGGGAAATGACAATAGTAGTTCCATAATTGTGAAAGGATGTCATTATTTTCCGTCTTCCACCAATTAGTCTGCATCCTGACTAGTGAGCAGTACCTGGGGCCCACAGGGTAGGTTCAACCGTTTAGGTTTCTCTCTGCTCGGCTGCTAAACTGAAGTTCTGGTTCAAATCCCTGCTGAGAATTTGTGTTTCTAACAGGGAGCCCTGGTGGTGTGGTGGTTAAGATCTGGGCTGCTAACCAAAAGGTCAGCAGTACGGATTCATCAGCTGCTTCTTGGAAACCGTATGGGCAGTTCTACTCTGTCCTATATGGTCACTATGAGTTGGAATTGACTGGATGTCAAAGGAGCAAGTTCCCAGGCAACGCTAATGCTGCTGGTTGGGGACCAATTCAGAGAACCACTTATAGAGCAGTGGTTCTCAAAATTTATTATACATAAGAATCACCTGGGGATCTTGTTAAACTATAAATTCTGATTCAGTATATCTGGGGTGGAAATGCAAATTCTTAGCAGGAGTTCGAATTGGAAAGAACCAGTTTGAAACCACCAGCCACTCTGATGCAGAAAAATATGGCTGTCGGCTTCCGTAAAGATTACAGCCTT